CTATCTGGCCTTTCACAGGAATAATTTGCCTACCTTTGTTCTAGATCAGGGTTGGAGAACCTTTTTTCTGCCAAGGGCCATTTGGATATTCATAACATCATTGTCTCATTGTCGGGCCATACAAAATTATCAAAAATTAGCTATGAAAAAAGCTCCTAGATGTATTGAATTTCAAGTCCCACCTGCGGTTGCCTTGGCAGGGCCAGACCAAATGATTTTGCGGGCCATATACAGCCTGCGGGCAGATGTTCCCCACCCCTGGCTGGGTGCTAACTCTTGCGAGGGACCCGGGGACCTAGCACTCAGTCCATGCTGGAGAATCGGGCGAGGTTTGAAAGGTGTTCCCCCCTTCAGCACTGTCCGAGCCCTGGGCAGATGCCTGGCATGTGACGGGCGCTGGCAGGAGAGCCGGTGAGTCAGCCCCTGCCCTCCAAGAGTTCACGGTGCGGAGACCAGGTAGGCAGGTCAGTGCTGACGCGGAGCTGAGACGGAGGCTCCTGGGGGAGCACATGGAGGACAGGGCTGGGGGACCCGGAGACACTGCTGGGGGTGGGGCCAGGACAGAGGGCCCGCAGGGGGCGCCCGGGAGCTCAGGTAGCGACACAGGCGTGCAGGGCAGAGGGCGGCTGTGTGCCGGGCTAGGAGATGGTGGCGTCATTCTGTAGGCGGGACTGAGGGTGAGGGGCGAGAAGGAGATTCCAGCCTGAGCCGGTGGCCTCAGGATGATGACATTAGCCATCCTGGAACATGGGGGGCACGTCACCTGCTCAGTGGGAAAGCCACAAGCGCCCAGCACCCATTCACTGCCTACAGTTACGCTCCATCCCCTTTTCTAAGGACCCCACCTGCTGCCTGCTTCAGGCCCACACCCCCCTCACCTGCCTTATCGCTATCACCGAGTTGTCTGGTTTTCCAACATCCCTCAATGCTGTCACTCCTAAAACAACAGTTTTCACATCATACTTTGTTTACAGCTTTTCCATAACCCTCCCCTGTCTTCAGGACAAAGCTCAGCTCCTTAGCATGACAGCCCCTCCTAAGCTGGCTCCTCTCACTTCTCTCTCGTCAGCCCCACCCCTCGGTTAAACAAGTTGGGATCAACTAGGAGTCTCTGGACAAATCCCCCCTCCACTCCTTTGCTGGGTCACTGCTCCTCCCTCTGCCCGATTGCTTTCCCTTCCTTACCCATTTATTGAATTCAGTTCATCTCCCAAACTCAGCCTGGGTTACCCTTCCTCTGGGAAGCCTGCTTTAACCTTTCTCCCAGCCAGTGCCCTCACCCCCTCATCTGTCCTGTCTGTCCCTGCCCAGGGACATACTTACACAGAAATGCTCCTCTCCGTGAACCCCATGCTGGTGCAAGGGTCCTGAGTACACGGTACCCGGGCTCATGAATGAGTGCAGCAACTATGTGCTTCTGTGTCAGCTGGAGGCACCTTGGGGTGAGACTCTGCTGGCACCCTGGCAGTGTGTAGGTGCTGGACTGTTTGGTTTGGATGGAGGCAACCTGCACAACTTGGAAAAACTGTCCACAGGAATTCTCTGCTCCCCACTGGGAGACTGAAGATCTTCATCAGAGTGAACCCAGGTTGCCACAGACAGGAAGAGACTGATTAGACATGGGCAGTGGTGCCTCTGTGTGTCCTGTCTTTGTGAATGGCACCACCATCCAACCACGCAGTTGCCCAAACCAGAAGCCTGCAAGTCTTCATGAATCTCTCCCTGTCCCTCAGCCCCCACACATCGAGTCACCAAGCCCCCAGTGTTGCTGGGGCCCTCACACCGGCATGGGATTCTCAGACCCATGTCCCTGCCCTGTGACCCATTCCCCTCCTCCATCCCTCGCCTGGGCCACCACAACGGCCTGCTAGCATCCTCACCACCTTTGCCTCATTCCTGCCACATCGGTTTCCACACGATGTGGAAAACAGCCAGACTGTTTTCTCAAGCACCTGTATGTCCCTGTGACCCATTGTTTAAAACTGTTCTACCACGCCCTCAGAATGAACCCCAACTCTTTGGGGCAGGGGAAGTTATGAGACCCTTTGGACCTAGCTCCAAGCAAACTTCTCTAGTCCTGGCCTCCTTGAGACACCTCCTTGCACTGAAGGACCAACTACATTGTCCCCCACTCCCAAGTGAGGCCACTAGCAGGTGTGCTTAGTTTGTCAATCTGCCTTTGAGAGACACTGAACTCTTGTTCTGGAATGTTCCATGTCTGCCACAGCTTATATCTTGTGCACCTGACTCCTCAGAAGCTACCTGTCCCTCTCCAAGCATCCCCCATTGGCCAGTCTTTCATAGCCTTCAGGATTCTCAGACCCCTACCATCACAAAGAGCCTCCCTCCTGCCACCACCCCAGGACAGTGAGCCACAGGCCCCCAGCCTTTGCCATGGTGTCCATTACCCTGTGTTGTGGTTGTCAGTTTGCTTTTCTGTCTCCCCTGCTCACCGAGGGCGGGGACAGTGTTGAACCCCACTGTTGAAACCCCATCTCCTAGCCTGGCATATGGTGAGTGCTTAGTAAATATTTATGGAAGGCAGGACTAAAGCAAGTTAAGAGAGAAGAATCCTGCCCTGGCTGGTTGCTCAGTGGTTAGCGTCGCGGCCGGCGGACTGAAGGGTCTCGGGTTCAGTTCCAGTCTCGGGCACGTACCTCAGTTGCAGGCTCCATCTCCATCCCCAGCTGGGGCATGTGTGGGCAGCAACCAACTGATGTGTCTCTCACATCGACGTTTCTCTCGCTCCCCCTCCTCCCTCACTTCCACTCTCTAAAAATCAATGGAAGAATGTCCTCAATGAGGATTTAAAAAGAGAGAGAGAAGAATCTCATCAAAATCTCCTTCCTAGAACATTCATTTATTCAACAAATAAGCAAGCAGAGGGTGGAGAAAGGCAGGCAGGGGAGAGGCTGAGAGAGAGGTCTGCAGGTCCCCGGGGGCAAGACAGCGGAGATTCCACATGTGGCCTGAAGAATTGCCACCAAGCCCCCGGGGATGCCTGTGCATTAAAGCACGAAGGAAGAGTCTAATCGTCTCGGAGTCGGCCATATGTGCCTGGTGTTGCCATGACAGCCCCCAGAATTGGGCAGATGTGCCATGAGCATCTTTGGAAAACATCAGGGGACCCCAGAGACTGTGCAGCCTGGAGAGAAATAGTTCACACTCAAAATGCTGGCATGGAAATGCTCGGTTTGGATCGAGGGTCCTGTAGGACGGCGTCATGGGGACCCTTGGCGTCGGGACACAGTGAGGAAGCTTCCCGCCGTCCTCAGGGCTTTGAGGGCCTCTGCCGCTGCCCCTGCCTGCTCCCTAATCCCGTGCTCCCTCCCTAGGTGATCAAGCTCGCCTTCGAGGAGTTTGACTTGGAGAGGGGCTATGACACCCTGACGGTCGGGGATGGTGGGCAGGACGGGGACCAGAAAACAGTTCTGTACGTGTAAGTAACGCAGAGCGAGCAGCTGGGCGGGCGGCTTACGAATGCCTTGGCTGAAGGAGGTTGGATGGGCTGCCGGGCCCACCTGGTCCCCCAGACTACACTGCGACCAGGACAGGTGTCCTGTAGTGCCCCTCGTTTCAGCAACAGTCCCTCTGCCTGTCTCTGCCCCAATCAGGGGTGGAGAACACTGGCCAGATTCTCACTAGGAATTCGCAGGAAATGTGTACGCGATGAGCAGTCTCTTAGGGAGGCGGGAGATGGAGGTTTTGTGTGGCTGCCTCTACGCAGACCCTCCTTCTGCCACCCAACAGTTTTTCCTCAAGGCCAAGTATGTCCGTGGTGATCTGACTTCCGACAGAGACAGTAAAAGTGTTTTGCTAACCTCCCTGCATGCTCTTAACTGGGAAATGGGTGGTTCCAGGGAATTAGGGCCACGTGAGCATAGTGGCCACCTTTTCTGAGCCCAGAAAAACTGGTATGGCATGGCCTGGTCAGGGGAGAGGAGGACATCAGGCTGTCCTGGATTCCATTACATCGGGTCTTGGCTCCTTCTTTGCCCACCAGTAGCCTGACATGAAGCAGGAAGATGCTCTTGTTTGATGCATGTGGTCCAGCTTCAGAGAGACACGCCTGACCTCATCCATCTCCCCTGCCAAAAAGAAAGGGGGATTTCACATATGCTGAGCACCTACTATGTGCCCAGGCACTGTGATGAGAGCTTTCCCGTCAGAGTCATCTCATTTAAATCCCACAGCAGCCCTGTGAGAAAGGTATTATCCCTAATTAACAGGTGAGGAAACTGAGGCCTAATGGTTGCAAAGATGGTGGGTGGCAGAATCAGCACTTGAGTTCGTGTCTTTTGATTTCACTGAGGGATAGTGTCCCTTGCCGTACCCCGTCCCAGCCAGGCTAGCTCCAAGCTAATGCCCTCTGGTTTTGATGCATGAAAGATAGCTATTCAGCAATAGTTGGCTTGTCTCCAGGAGTGGTTCTGTTCTGGGAACTTCCTGCACCTTCCTCATACCTACCTGGAGAAGATCCTATCCAGGTAGTTAAAGGAGTCATGATGTTACCCACTGAGGCAGGTGACATGGCTAGGACTTGGGGTCTCTCAGGAGAAAAGAATGGAATGTGAGCCTGCAGGGCATCGGCCCTTGCCTGTTCCACTGCATTAATCAGGGTTCTCCAGAGAAGCAGGGCCGGTAGGATGTATAGAGAGAAAAGGGTTTATTATAAGGAATTGGCTCACACAGTTAAGGAGGCTGACAAGCCTCAAGATCTGCAGGGTGAGTCAGCAGGTTTGAGACCCAGAGAATGATGATGTAATTCTAGTGCAAAGGCCAGCAGGCTCAAGACCCAGAGAGAGCTGAT